GGTTAGCCTGGTGATGGGTATTAAAGAGGGCACGTTCTGCGTGGAGCACAGGGTGTTATGCACAATGAATCATGGAACACTACATCCAAAACTAATGATGTAATGTATGGTGATTAACATAACAATAAAAAATTTTTTAAAAAAAGAGTCTCTCTCCTCCCTTTGCTCTTCCCAGGCTCCTCCTCTCTCCCTCTTGGGAAAAAACAAACAAAAAAACACACATACACATGCATCTCTGGGTGCCTGGCTGTCTCAGTCAGAAGAACACACGACTCTTCATCTTGGGGTTGTGAGTCCGAGCCCCACATTGGTATAAGAGATTACTTAAATATAAAATCATTAAAAAATAAAACAAGCATCTTTGTTGCCAGTCAGACTGGAAAAGATTTAAAAGAATAATCATGCTCAGTATTTGTTTCATCACTTGCTTGTCCACACTGTGGGTCTTTCATCTACTTGGGCCACAGCACAGTGCTTGTGAGGGTCAGGAACCCCAATCCTCAGCCTCTGTGTGGGAAAGCAGCTGTACGATCCTTTAGGAAAACAACCTACAAAACTCTAAAATATACACTCTCTCTAACCCAATCAACCTTTCTCTCAGACTGTAGGTAAGAAAAACTAAGTGAACAAGATGGGAGTAATTCATAGAATTGTTCATGATAATTATTTAGAAACAATTTAAATTTCATCAGTAGAGTACCGGTTAAATAGTGTTCTATATAGTAGATACTATATGCCTATTAAAATGAAAGACGTATATATTAAACAAAAAAAGATGACTAAGGGGCACCTGGCTGGCCCAGCTGATGGAGCTTGTGGCTCTTGATCTCGGGGTTGTGAGTTGGAGCCCCATTGTTGGGCGCAGAGGATTACTTTAAAAAATGGGGGGGGGGGGAATTAAATAAAAAATTTAAAAAGATGACTAGGGATTAAAGAGGATTTTTAATTTTTTTGCTATGTACTTTTTTTTGTCATTGTCAGACTTTACAAAATGATCATTAACTATTTTATCATTAGAACAGAGAAAGCTCTTTCCGGCTTAAATAAAATTTTAAGGGGTAGTTCAAGCTTATCGGTCTCTGTGTAGCCGTCACATCCACCCTCAGCCAGGTGAGACGCCGATCTGCAGCGCCAGGGGCATGAAAATGGTATTGCTAGAGACATACATCATCACTGCTCTACATTTCCCACCCACCCTTTACAAACTTCTGTGGCAGTGTTTGCCACAGAGGAGTATGATCCTTTGTGTAACCCCCTGAGAATCTTGCCTAATTATCACTGAGTACATAGATCTATACACTGTCCACACACACACACACACACACACACACACACACGGTTCTTTCTGTTTCAAAAACACAGGTTTGTGAATGACATATTTTCATAAGGCTGCACAGGTAACTGGGAATGAGAGATGCTATTGTTGAGATGTTCATATTTCATATTCACTACTGTAAAGGGGTTTTGTTTGACACACAAAAAAAAGCTTGTCTCCTCAGAGTATATACTGCTTGGCCAGGTAGTAAAAAGAGTTAATTATAAAAATGAGGATTCAACTAACATAAGTAAAAAGCAGCATTTTTAAAGCCCCACATCAGGCTCCCTGCTCAGCGGGAAGCCTGCTTCTCCCTCTCCCACTCCCCCTGCTTGTGTTCCCTCTCTCACCGCTATGTCTGTCTCTGTCAAATAAATAAAATCTTTAAATAAGTAAATAAATAAATAAATAAAACCACATAGAGATTTTATTGGATCATTTCTATAGCTGCCTAAAATTGGACAGCTTTCTAAAACAGTAGGCTGGCAGTATGATTTCTAAATGTAATACTGGCCTCCATGAATGTAGTGATGTAACTCAAGTTAACAGGAAAAACTCCCAGACAGGCATTCATGTGCATGGCTTCATGGATGTGCGCACACACATGTTCATTTGACAGTATGCACACATACACCTCCATTTCCGTGTTAGTGCCACCTACTTGATTTACAAGTTCAGGGATGCCCAGAGCTCTGTCAATTTCTTCCAAGCCTGTGGCATCTGTGTTGCTCAAGAGAGTGTGCAGCTGGTCCAACAATGCTCTTTCATCACTCTGCCCTTCTAGGTTAGAAGGTGGCCCAAGGAGATCATCCAGGGAATTCCTAAGAAGTGGCCTAAAAAGAGATTTGCAATCAATGTCAATGCTGCTTTTCCTCCAACACACACACACACACACACAGTAACCACGCACATTTTTAATATGCAGTAGTAACTTAAATATGACAAGTACAAATAATAAACCAAGTAACAGAGAAGAGCAAATGGCACCAACTTAAATTGAAGGCCCACATTTTAAACTGAGCCAGGCCATCTTACAACCACATCTAGCTTACACATATTTAATTTACAATTCCACCACCAAAATGTAACTACTAGATCCCTAGACATGTGAGGGATAGCAGAGGCTGAGGGGGATGGGCTAGTACAAGAACAGAAGTGGTAGTAGTTATGATATTTGTTAACTTGAAGAAATCAACAAAGGGATGCCTGGGTGGCTCAGTCGTTAAGCGTCTGCCTTCGGCTCAGGTCATGTCCCAGGGTCCTGGGATCGAGCCCTGCATTGGGCTCCCTGCTCCTCGGGAAGCCTGCTTCTCCCTCTCCCACTCCCCTTGCTTGTGTCCCCTCTCTTGTTGTCTCTCTGTCAAATATATAAATAAAATCTTTTAAAAAGTTACTTATTAAAAATAAATAAATAAAAGGTAGCATCTATCCACAAAACAATGAGAATAAGAAAGGCAACAAAGTATTTCAACAGGCATTTGCAAGACAGAAAAAGAGAGGAGCAACCAACTCAAGAAAGCAGAGAAGCTGAGACCCGTGTGCCTATAGAGGAAAACACCTAAGAGCCGAGCAAATGTTTCCCACGGAGCCAATGACAGACTCCACTGGGGCTGTAGAGGGTCAGGCAAAGTGCTCAAACGTGGCTGGTTAGGAATCTGAGTGGAGAGCAGGGGAGCAGCTACCTCCCAGCCCCTAGCCTGCTCCCTAATTCTGCATAGCCGTGTAGCTATACCTTCTACCTACTTCCTCCCTCAACTACCTCGGTTCTGGGACACCAAGCAGAGCAGAGAGGTAAGAGTAGGCAGAAGCTGAAAACAGGAATCTTATTTATAATTTCTAGTAAAATTTTTATATTTTATAATTTTATATCTTAACACTATGATATCATCAACTTGCCTCCCCAGCCCAGCTCCCAAAATGCAGCCAGGTAATTAAAAATTCCCAGGCAAGGAAAACTATAAGGTGTGAGTAGAAAAGGAGGTGGTAACAGCTCTACATGTTGCAATTTGGGGAGTCCTGAAATAAAAGGGCTAGCCCCCCATCAAATGCTTTCAGTGAAGACTGGTTCTTTTTAATATATCATACTTAAAAAGACAGTCAAGGATTTGCAAGATATGTGATGGTGAAAGCTTCCAACATGAAAGGGACAAAACAAGTAAAAAGTAACTCAGAAACAAGGAAAATAGAGATTAAAAAACACAGGCTCAGTGTAATACCCAACATGTCAATAGACATCCCAAAGAAGTAAGAAAATACAGGAGATAAAATTATTAAAGAGATGATACCAAATGACATGTCTGATAAGCTTTAGAAATATTCAACCCTAAAAAAATTTTTTACAAAGGAAAAAACATTCAGCCCCCATTACCAATAAATGCAATTAAAACTCACTAATTAAAAATAAAAAAGAGAAATGATACACAAAAATGCCACCAAACCAAAAGGAGTCTCTGTGCATCTGACATACAGCAGAATGAATGCGTAAGACCCACACCATGAGGAGGTTTCATGCAACCTCAGAAGGAAAAAGTTCCTGAATAATTCCAGAGACAATCAATGGGTAGCACACGAAAGAGCAGGAATCAGACTGAAATATGAGTCCATGGCAACACTGCATGCCAAAAAACTGTGGAACAATTCTTTCAAAATTCTAAGAGGAAATTATTTTCAACCCAAAATTTAATACACAGCCAGACATGCAGGGGGTGGAATAAAGATATTTTCAGACACACAAGGGCCCAATACACTTAACGTCATGCCTAAAATGAGAGTTTTGCTCAAAACTACACCAGGGGTACCACAAAATAAATGACATATATGCACCATTTTATCTTTCTAAATGCAAAAATTCCTGAATTCCAGAGCATACCTGACCCCAGGTTCTCAGACAAGAGACGATGAATGCACAATCGGCTATCGCACCAGGAAATCAACAGATAGAGACTGAAATTGATGAAGAATAGCTGCATACTCATAGTACTTAGAAATATTCCCAAAATAGTTTGAGTTTCACTATCTCTGAGTGGGGCAAATGCGTGTGATTCTTCAAAAAGTCTATTTTTGTACCATTTTTACAGTTTCAAACACAAGTTACCTGGCTAAAAATAAAAATTAACTATAACAAAAAAGGAAAGCAAGCTTAAAATCTTCCATGGCTTCCCTATATAGCAGAAAAATTCCAGACTCCATAAGATGGTTTGTGGAACCAGCTTCCGTTTAACTTCTCCAACGTCGTCTCAAAGAAATCCCTCTCTGCTCTCACGAGCTTTCAGTCGCTTGGTAGAACCCCCCCGCCCTTCCCTGCCTGAGGCCTTTGAGTTAGCTGTACCTCTTCTGGAACATTCTTCCCCTAGCTGATTGCCGAGCTGGCTCCATCTCATCCTTCAAATGTCACCTTACATGTCATCTCCCCAAAAAAAGCTTTCCTGACTACTCACCCCAGTCCCCAGTAATTCTTTATCTCATCATCCTGGACTTGAAAACACAAACATTTTTAAACTAAAGAATAAGACCACAACAAGCCCCCCACTAAAAAGAAACTGGGAAAACTATTCAAATATATTAGACAAGTAAACAGCCTTCAAATCACAGCTCAGATAGAAGAAATTATTTCAGAAAAAATAATTTAGAAAATTAGAGAAAAATGTTGACACCACCAGCCCCCACCCTAACAAAAGGTCCTTTTTATGACACAGGTCCTTCCTGCTGATCTCCACCATACCATGTCTGCCTCCATCCGGGTGGCTCCTTGCCTCATGTGTGCCTGCTCCAGGGCACTCTGAGCTTTGGGAGCAGAAACTAATTTGTTCACTACTGCCCCTCAGCCTCTAAAAAAAAAAGACTAACTGGCATACAGAAGACAAGTATTTGTTAAATGAAAGAATCAACAAGTCAATAAATAAACTTGCATAAAGTACTGTTGCAGATAAACAAAAACCCCATCAGGAAACTACTTTAAAAACACATATAAATGACCAAAAAACATGAAATATGTTCAATCTTGCAAATCAACAAAATACAATTTAAAACAAGCATGTTTGGGCACCTGGGTGGCTCAGGCAGTTAAGCCTCCGACTCCTATCTCAGCTCAGGTCAAGATCTCAGGGTTGTGAAATCGAGCCCCACACTGGGCTCCAAACTAGGCATGGAGCCTGCTTAAGAGTTTCTCTCCTTAAGGGGAACCCTCCTACGGTGTTGGTGGGAATGCAAGTTGGTGCAACCGCTCTGGAAAACAGTATGGAGGTTCCTCAAACAGTTGAAAATAGAGCTACCATACGATCCAGCAATTGCACTACTGGGTATTTAC